TTGTTAATATTTCTTGGATTTTCATTCATATGTTTATCTTTTTTGCATTACCAATATTTTTTTAAAGTTCCTTGCTTATTCAATTTTTTTTATTATATAGATTGTGCAAGCTCAAATGTGGTATGGTGCTACTGGACAAGGGACAAAAAATTTCAACCATACCCAATGTTGGGAGGTGGTGAAGCATTGTAAGAGATTTAGTATTATTCCAACGGCTCCAACGGTGGTGTTAAACGAGACGCCACTCCATGATTCACAAGCTTCGGATTCGCCTATGGAATCCCCTATGAGTGAAGACTCACCCATTCAAATAGAGCTGAGACCTATTGGGAGGAAGGCGGCGAAGGCAAAGCGAGGAATTAATTCTACGAGTAATACCTCTAAATTTTTGGAGGGAATTGCAAGGCAAAGCGCCTTGAGAATTGAAATAGACAAGAAAGTAATGGCAATAGAATTTGCTAAAGAAAGGGAGTATGTACGCAAAGAAAGGGAGTATCAACACAAAGAAAATGAAGAAAAGAATGATCGGGAAACCATGGTCATGGATACAAGCCACATGTCTTCTGAAACAAAACAATATTGGAAGCTAGAACGAAAGGCTATTATGAGACGAAGACTTTTTCGTAATGCCTAGCAATACGGATTGGTTAAATGATGAAAACCCTTAAGTTAGTTTGCTTGCCTTTTCATTTCATTGTATTTTAATGTTTTGTTTTAAAAATTAGTTGGAATTCATGTATTTTATTGTATTAGTAGTATTGGTTTTCTTTGAGTTACCAAAGAAACTATTAAATAAAATTCCTTTTTATTCAAAACATTCAATACATAAAAAACCTAACCACAACCAACATTAAAAATATAAAAACAAACAAACCACAACTAAAGCATAAAAAAACCAAACATAACTAAACATAAAACATAAACATTAAAATCTTAAAAATGTTCTTCACTTCACTTCATTCACCGTCATTGCCTTTCACCACCCATAAATGCTCCATTAAGTCAACTTGACAGCGTTCATGAATATACGAAGATTGCATCTCTGTATATCGATCAATCATATGGTTCATGAAAAGACCATCTCTAACCAACGGTTCATGCTCCACTGGTCCTCCATTTGGCCCTATTGGTTTTTCATAAATTCGGGTCAAGGCAGTGTTCATGGGATCAGGTTCGTACACCTCTTCAGCTTCGTAATCATACTCATCCTCCACAATCATGTTATGAAGGATGATGCATGTCATCATGATGCTCCTCAACACCTCATCATCAAACATACGCGCCGCACCCCTAATGATCGCCCACCGAGCTTGAAGGATACTAAAGCACCTCTCCACATCCTTTCTATAACCCTCTTGATATGTAGCAAATAATTTTTGCTTCTGGGTTCGGGGATGCGGAAGTGATTTCACAAATGTTGTCCATCTCGGGTAGATCCCGTTAGCTAGATAATACCCAGTTTGGTAGATGGTATTATTGACTTCATATGTAATTTTTGGGGCTTCTCCTCTCAGAACATCAGTGAACACCGGGGATTGACCCAGGACGTTCAAGTCATTTTGAGATCCAGCAACTCCGAAAAAGGCGTGCCAGACCCATGTATCGAAACTTGGTACGGCTTCAAGGATGATGCTTTTTTGGCCATTTCGATTTCCGTAATCACCCTGCCAAGCAGTTAGGCAATTCTTCCATTACCAGTGCATGCAGTCGATGCTACCAATCATTCCTGGAAATTCTCTCCGTTCGGCTTTCTGCAGAAGTCGTTGCAGGTCTCTGGGCGTGGATCGGCGCAGGTAGTCCCTGGTGTACAGAGTTTCGACTGCATCACAAAATCTAACCAAACTCTCCAAGGCAGTGGACTTCCCCATCCGGGCAATCTCATCCACCTGATCAGCAGATGCACCATACGCCAACATTCGTATAACAGCTGTGAACTTTTGTTCGGGAAGCAGTCCCAAGACACC